AACTGCATATATATTTAAGTGTATAAGATAGATAACCATATTACTGAGTTTTATTGGATCATTGAACAAAACTGTTTGCAGTCTGTTTGAAAGTCCCCTCTATATACTTTAATTTTGTAACTTCAACAACTATTTCTAAGATGACAATATGTAATTAACTAGTGATTTCCTACTGTTTACTTTTTCTGAAATTCTGTATAACTTTACCCTTTTTCTGTTTTTTTTTTCCTCCTTAAATAAAAAAAAAAAAAAGACCAATGGGCTACCTGTGCATCCCTAATGCCCCCTTAGGTTCCACCCCAGGCCGAGGCTACTTATGTGCCTCACTCCAAGTGTTCCACGTGTTCCCCAGAGAGATCACCGACCCCCCCCCGGGGTGGAGATGGCACACCCCTAGGGGGGTCAGGGGTGTCTCTCCCCGCATTCTCAAAATAAAGGTCATATATATTTCATACTTCTTTTTAGCCGCCGCCGGTCCTCCCCCACAGTTCTATCACCCAGCACCCCTGAGTGTCCTGGGTATAATCTTTTGTAAATTTCCTTTCTGCATTCCAGTGTTATTGGGAAGAGTAAGTGGGTTAATAAATATAAAGTCTTAGAATCCTGCCCCCACACTAAGTGCTAGTAATTGTTATTATCGCTCTAGGACAAAACCATCGTTGTGCCTCTCCTTCAGGTAGACACCCTCTCCCTACAGTGTCAAGTCAGCTAGAATGAGACATCAGAAATTCTAACGCTGAGAATGGAAGAACAGCGCCAAGACCCACCAAAGAGCAGACAACTGAGCAGTGAGTGAACGCATAGAGTAGGGCGAGAAGTTTTGCTTTTTTTTTTTTTGTACTAGACATTGAACCTGTTATGTATCTTTTGCACAAAGATACATCTCCAGCTCTTTTAATTTTTCTCATTTTGAGACAAAGCTTTCACCAAATTATTATAATCCCTATGCTGAGCTCAAACTTGGTCCTTTTGTCTCAGGGTCCTAGAGTTCTGGGCTCCCAGGCGTGCAGTGCTGCACCTGGCATGGGAAATTCTGTGTGTGCATGTGTGTACACGTGTGTGTGTGTGTGTGTGTGTGTGTGTGTGTGTGTGTGAACGGCCAGACAATAAACTCTGTAGAAACAGCAGGCCGGGTGGTGTCCCTGCTAGGATATGAGAGCAGCTCTAGACATTATGCAAAGCAGCAGGTGTGGCTCATTATAGTAAACCTTTATCGAAGGTCACTAAATCTGAATTTAAGATCACTTTCACATGATGCGAAACATTCTTCTTCTTTGGATTCTTTTGTGGTGGGAAGGCATTAGAAATGTAAAAGCCAGGCCGAATGTACTGGTGCACAGCTGTAATCCCAGCACTAGGGAAGCTGAGGCTAGAGGAGAACCACGAGTTTGGGACCACCTGGGCTGCATATTGAAACCCTGTTTCAAAAAGACCAAAAAAGATTAAGAACTATTCTGAGCTTGGGCACAGTATGAAAACAGGCAGGGTCTGGGCTGGGTTATGGCCAAGGCGCTGACCCCTGACTCAGACAGCAGACAACTGGGCAGGCCCAAGATACGGCCCCTCTTGTGCAAGGTGTCCAAGTAACATTTCCTGAAGTTAGTGACAGACGCACAGAGGCCTAAGAGGGATGCCAGGGAGTGGCTCTGAGGACTCACGGGGCACATCCCCACTGTGCCCATCACATCCTTTGTATAACTGCTTTTATCTGAAATGTCCAATGACCCTGATGGTTTTATGTCCTGCCTGCCTTACATCTGTTTTTAGAACAAAACTGAATTATAGCAAATCTAAATAATATTTGTTAACCAAAAAAGATAGCTTTTCCAGACAAGCTAGGAAAACTGTCAGACTATATTACATTATTGGCAGTGCTCATTTTAATAGACAGGCAGATGTCTGAAAGCTCGGAGAGACCGGAAGTGACGCAGCTACGGAACAGCCGGAACAGCCGGCAGCAGCGGCGCAGCCTGGAGGTGCTGCCCACACCGCCCCTTGGGCCTCCTCAGCCCCTGCGCGGCCACAAGGGGAGGGCCAGGTGCCGGGGCGGGAGAGTCGGCCTCCTCCTCCTCCTCCTCCTCCTCCTGTTAATTTTAAATAGATTTTCTTTTTTTAGGGGGTCCCTAGGGCCTTACACTTTATGAGCTTCCCCAGCTTCCTCTTTCCCTCTATTTGAATTGAGGTTAGAAAGGGGTTTTCGCGCTGTTTTGTAAATGCAGGTTCGTGTTCCTTAAGTCTTAATTTCTTCATGTTCCAGTAAACAGTGCTCATCAGAGACTCATGTTTTAACTCTAAAGCTTATTTTTTAAAACCAGAGGAGCTGGGTTTATAGCCCAGCATGCGTGAAGTCTTGGGTTTAATTCCCCAGGACTACACTGACACACGCGTGATCCCAGCACGTGAGAGGTGCCTCGCGTTGGAGACCAGCCGGAACTACACGGCAAGACTCTGTCTTAAACAAAAGAAGATGCTGCAATCCTGAATTATTTTTACTCCCACAAAATCCTTGTCTAATCCCACAACCACAACTCTATGACCAGTCAGTGCCTTTTAAATGTTTTCCAGTGGTTTTGAACTTTTCAAGCCTTCAACCTAAGACAGGTCAAAATGCTCCCACTCCACGCGTCGCGGCGGTGTGCTGAGGCCCATGAACAGTACTCCTGTCAGCATCTGCCCGCGCAACCAGCATTTACCTTTCTTTTCCGCTTTCTCCTTCGCAGCCTGAGTGGGTTGATTTACAGTAGGAAATGTGTGCCCAGACCAGAACCTCGGGAGCAGAGCGCCCCCCAGTGGCCTCACACACATCTGCACTGTAGCCGACCCGGGGAATTCAGTACAGTGTCATAAAAACTAAGTGGAATGAAAGGAAAAAAAAAAAAAAAAGCCCAGAAGTCAGGATATGGTAAAAGACAAATTGCATTAAGTGGCAGTCTGTCTGAGAAGCAAAGGCATGTTCAGTACTGCCTGTCACTCTAAGGGACTTAGTGCTAAATAATTTTTTAAATTTTTAAAAATATTTTATTTAAAGAGAGAAAAAAAAAAGCAAAGCAGAAAAAGGGTAGAAATAATTTTTTTTTTGGTACCAGGGATCAAACTCACAACCTTGCACTTGTCAGGCAGGTGTTTGCTTGTGCCTCTGAGTGAATCCCCTGGTGGTGTTAACATTTTAACAGAATAGCACGATTACCCAGGTATGTACCAAATGACCTAATCACATCTTTTTGTCTGGAACCCAGTGCCTTTGTAAGTGTGCACCGTGTCTTGCAGCTGCTGACCTGTGCCTGTGCCTAAGCATTCCACACACTCATGTAGGCACGAGAGGACCACTGGGTCTGCAGCTCAGCATGTGCCTGCCAGGCACACCTGCCATCCTCACATTTACCTGGGGAGTCTGGGGAACACAGCCCAGCTCTTCTCGGGGACAAAACCCTGGGCTAGGGACAGGCAGCAGCGGAGGAAAGAACGGCACAGACGTGGTGATGAGACCAGGTCTCAGCCCCCCTGGTCCTCACTGAACCCAGCCAAAGCAAACACAGGAAGGAGCTCATGACCTTGCGGTCAGCACAGCTCAAGCAGGTGTGTGAGCCCTGAAACGCAGCCTGAGGGAAACGTAAAATCAGGCCTCATCTGTCTGGAGTTCTGAGTGAGTGAGTCTAAAAACACAGGGAGCAGGCCAGAACCTGTCTCAGGTTTCATGCCAAAGCTCTTTCCACCAAACCAGGTCCTGAGGCAGGCACAGCGGTGCATGCCTAAAATCCCCACATTCTGCGAGGCCGAGGCAGGAGGACCACAAGTTTGAGTCCAATCTGGGTAACTTAGCAAAGACCTAGTTGCAAAAATATGAAATAAGGCTGGGAATGTGGTTCTCAGATAAAGGCTCTGAGTTCAATGTTTGATAGTTTAAAAAAAAAAAAAAGCCACAAAAAAATAAAGGCGTCTGGAAGAAAGGCCCACTAGAATTTTGTTTTCCCTGATCAGTGTCCCCTTGGTATCGTAAGTGACCATGTACTTGTGGCTGGGCCTACGTTCCTGGCTTGGGTCCTGTCTTCCCAAGGCTCTTCACCTCCGTCTCAGATGTTTCTGCCACTTTCCTGCCTATCAGTTAAAGGAAATCATCTCTGCCTCACTGGAGCAGGCAGTGTGTCATGTCTGTGGAGACCCAACTTGCTCCACTTTTAGTCTGATGACTGATACCTTGTGACATCCTATCCTGCAGTTACAGTCACCCTTTGGACTGCAATGCCACAGCGCCCCAACCCTCAGCGTCTCATCTACTTAAATAAAATGACCCAGAAAGGCAGCTGAAGCGTTTGCTCCGGGAAAGGAGTGCTTTCTTTAGCAGGCACAGGGCCTGCAGCAGCTCTGCAAGTAGCAGTCAGGACAGGGACATGGTGACAGCAAGAGTGCTGGCCTCCACCCAGGCTCTCAGTGGACGCTTATCTGCTCATCTCTTCTCTGAGGTGGGGCCTCTCAACATATTAACAGCCCAGCTTCAGGTGCACAGGCCTGTGCTACCAGGCCTGTCTCTGGAGTGACACAGTTCGAGACATATCTGGCCTCACCTGCCACTGAGTTCAGTATACAGCTGGCCTGGCCTGGGCAGTCCTGAAGCGTTCCCAGCATCCACTCGGAGGACACGGTACATAGGACAGCCACTTTGTTGACACAGCTCTGGCTTATCCTGTGGCCTCCAGCAGTCAGAATGCACAGTGCTCCCAAACACGGAAAAGGCCAGGGCGGGAGAACAGTTTCTAAGGAGCCACGAGGCCCTCAGCTAAGAGCTCGCTTCATGGATGCCGTCCCGGATATTTCTAGCAAGGTCCAAACCTCAAAGTTTGGTTTTTCATTATACACCCGACTGACTGCATAAACTCCCACTGGAAGAGTGTTTAAGGACAAAGTCTCCCATTTTTAGACCTAAATGTGGGGCTCATGAAATGGAGGCTGCCACAAGTTTTCACCCTTGGGGATAAAACAACTTCCAACCAGGAACACCATGATGGATCTAATAGTGGTAAACAGTTTTTATTCAGGCAATGAAACATGGAAAAAATATATTAGTAATCATTATAATTTCATTTGTGAGTATAACTTTTACAAATATTTACCTGACATATAAAAGGGAAATTACTATGTATATAAAATTTATGTAGATGATTATTCCACACAACACAATCCTGACAGCAGTAGTCAATGCAGCACTCACCCCTCCACACAAGCGGGCAAATGCGCAGTGAACGTCCACTTGGCACGGCAGCACGGTGGGGCTCTACAGGCAACAGAAAATGCCCACTGCTACTTCTAAGGTGCAGAAGTGCCCAGGGCCTGCCCCATGACTGGGACAGACAGAGGCGCGGCCCACACTTTGGGTTGGCCGCCTGCACTCAGTGGACTGGACCACATGTGGCTTCTGAGCTCTAATCTGCATCTGTTCACCTGAAAATGATCCCTAAATCTAGAGTATGAGCTGACTAGGAAACATTGCCTGGAATACTGAGTGCTCTGGTGCCACTAGGAGGCAGAGGCAGTAGCATCCAGCAATGGGAAGTGAAGCGTCCACATTGGGAAGGCCCAGGTCACCCCACTGCGCCGGGCTGGGCCTCCCCCATGAGGAAAGCGTCACATAGACTGCCAAAGGCCAGCATTGCACATGACAGCACCGCACCAGGATTACAACCAGGATACACACCTATGTAACAGCGGTACTCATATGACAGTTAATAAAGCCATTCCTTAGGAATTGTGTTTGTCCAAATCTAACTGCATGCTAAGAGGCACAGAAAGGGGATTGCATTGCGATGAAAACTACGAAGAATGCAACCTTTAGCCTCCAGACTCCAGCTCCAGCTGAGGGAGCTGTGTCCTCGGAACTGTGTGCTCAGCCCTGCCCTCCCCAAAGTGGGAGGGAGAAGAGGAAGAGGAAGAGGTGGCGGGGAGGGGACAGGAGAGGAGGGGAGGAGGGGACAGGAGCCACCCCCACTGCCTCCAGCTCCATGGGCAGAGACCAAGGCCTGAGCGGTAAGCTGTTTCCCTGTACCACAGCCCTGGCAGGACCCCAGGCCTCAATCTGCTGAGCAGCACTTCCAGTCCCATAATCTGCTTTTTACAACTGGAATCTGGAGCCAAGTGAAAGTTTTCTGGACAGAAATCTCCTCTAAGTGTTATTAAAATCTCTGAGAGAACATGAGTTCTTAGACCTTTGGCTTGACACCCTGGGATTCCCAGACTATGTCTGTTCTTTAAGAAGCACATAGAATCTGTTATCTTTAACATTCTTCAGAATATATATACAGCTTCACTTTAAAATCTCTTGCCTGAATCATTAATTTTTAGCATCTAGCTTCTCTCTTCCTAACGAGAGGGTGAGGAAATCTGATCCTGACAGCAAGCTCATGCAGCCACCAACTCCTGACCGATGAGGAGAGGAAAGGGGCTTTGGGACACTGCTCCACAGCAAAGCACTGTCAAGTCACCGCGACTCAGTGCAGCCCCGTGTGCAGGCAGCCGCTGTGTCCCCCATGCACAAGGACAGCCACTGGCCACGGGTCCGTGCCACTCCAGAAGGCTGCCGAGGTGCTCCTGCACCTCCTAGACTGGGCTGGGTCCCCAGAGTGGCTCTCCGGGCTCTTTAGAGCTCTGGACCGCGACAGGTCACTGGTTGGAGATGTGGTATCCAGGTGTGGCTGTGACTGGCCAGCACAGTAAACTGCTCAGCCTGTAGCTGGGTCAAAGCGGCTCCTACTTTGGCAAATCAGAAGCTGAAGTAGTGGCTCTGGACTCACAGCCTTGGCGGGACCAGACTGTAATCCCCACACCCCTAACTGAACCCGCAGAGCTCCTCTACTTCCCCCTTTCACTTCTGGAACAGCTTTTTTATTTTAATTGAACAAGTAATTTAACCCTCTCCTGCCGAAGCAGACTCTAGATCAGTGGTGGTGAACTTGTGCCGCAGCAGGCTGCTTCTATCACTGAGAGCTCTACAAGGTTCACTGTCACTGCCCTAGACTATATTCTTACTCACTAGATTGCAAAAAAAAGCTTTTTTTTTTTTTGGGGGGGGGGCTGTTTTTTAAAGAAAAAGAGGTATCTTTCATTTTCCCTAGTATATTCACCCTCTGCCTGCCCCCTTTTTCCTGGTACTGAACCCAGGCCCTTTGCACGGAGCAACATCTCCAGCACTTTTTAAAATTTTCAGACAGAGCTTGAACTTGTGAGCCTCCTGCCTTAGCCTCTCGGCATGTTCCACCATGCCAAGCTTTAGCCTGTACACTATCATGATAGGCCAGCTGTACAAGTGATGGTTTTTTCCTTGTTGCAGGAGATCTACCTATTAAATGACAGTGGTGGATACCCCTTGTAATAGTCACGACTGAAGCCAAATGGCAAATATCACTTAGGTAAGAGCCCCTGGGGCTTCTTGTGTGGGAGTGTCCTTCAGCAGGGTCTCCTTTTTCAGGTGTCTCCTGATTGGTATGCTGGAGAAGTACCACCGTCAGCTCTGTCCTAACGCACAGCAGTGTACTCTGAAACACATGACATGCTTCAAAAGGTGCTCACAGGCCTGGAGACGCAGATAGGGTACCTGCCTGACTTGTGTCAGACCCTGGTTTTGATCTCTAGCAGGCAAAGAAATCTTTAAAAAGAAAACAAGAAAGGTGACTGTGGATTTAAAATGACACCACTATACCCCTTTTACACTTGGAACAGACTGATATAAAATAAGAAAATATGGATATGTGAACAAAACACAGCAGTAGCAGATACCACAGTTTCTGTAAACCGCAGCATCGACTTCCCCTGCAGCAGAGGACCAAGAGGAAACTGGTCACACCATCAGACTTGAGACTGACTACCGGGACAGCTTCACATTAAACCACAGTGACGACTTCAAGCCCAAATGATTGTCAAGCCACTTCTCTAACCACAAGTAATTTTTTTTGTACAAAATGTTAAGACAATAGGCTTTAAAATACAGCCTAAGCACCAATTATAATAAATGCATATTGGTGAGACATGACTTCTGGCTTTCAACACATTACTGACTTCCCTGGGGCTAAAGACTGCACCCACATGAGGAACACACTGCTAAGGGAACACTTTCAAGATCTACAGGCACAGTTCATTGCTGAAGTTGGCTCATGCAGTAGTTCTACGGGAGCAGGAGGAAAGGACAGGTACTGAGTAGAGCGCACTCCACCACAAGGCTCTCAGGGTGCAGGGTTAAGACAAAGGAGTGCCCGGAAGCACTTGTGCAGATCTGGCCTGACTGACCAAACAGAAAAGGGAGACCTTTTCGGGCCTCACGTGGGCAACGGTCATTTCGGGGTTCCTGCGTGCCACTCTGAGCCAAAGCAAATGAGGGCGCAAGGAGCCTGGCCTTGTCAGCACAGATTTCTGCACGCCTTCCCTGCCCTGGTATTCAGGCGGCCTTTGTTTAAAAATGCTCGCAATGTGCTGGGACATAGAGGGACCTCCATGGTTTTTACTGTCTACTTTGTTAAAATTCTACATTAAAGTTTGAAAAGATTATTTTTGCCTTTTAGTATCTCAAGAACAACATACCAGGCCTGTAAAAACAAATCAACCAACCAACCAAAAAACCCTGTTTCTTTTCCTTGCAATTGGTAATGGGCTACAGTTACCTTTTCATTAATTAAGATCAGCTACACCTTTCACAAGTGCATTTTCCTGGCATATTGCAGATAGATGCCGAGGGTGAAAGGCTGGGTCTGCACCCACAAATGGAAGTAAAAGGGGACACATGGCTCCAGGGCACACTTGCCAAACTTCAGCTCTGAGTGGGCCCTGTGCTGTTCAGATGCAATACCGACTACTCAGGATCCAATCTTACGGTATTTCCTGTTTATCAATGAAATTAACAGGCCACATCACCTTCTTCAATAAAAGTGACGATAATGAAAATTAATGGATCAAACAGGTCATGAAAGTACCAGACAGGGGAGAGAGATGACCCTAAACAATAGTCACAAAATCACAAACTGAACAAATCTGGGGAAAGTAGAGGATCTCAGACAAAACAAACACAGAGAAATCGCAGACCACACTCAGTGGCCTGGCTCACTGGATCGCAGCCAGGGCAGGTGTGGGATGCCGGCTGACAGGGCTGCTCCTTCCTGACAGGGCCACGCTCCAGGCTCCTCTGGGGCTGTTTCATCAGCAGCAAAGCGGGACAGACAGCTGGAGGCGTGTGCTTTTTTATACAGTCTTTTTTTCTCTGCAAAGGGGGTGTGTGTGTGTGATTATTCCTGGATAAGGCAAGATTAATTGTGGTCACGACAGAAGCAGCCAAGTGCAGATCTGCTGAGCTGACGGGACACATCTCAGTCTGTCTTCCCCAGCTTTGCAATCAGCTCATCACAGATTTTTGTCAGTTCTTCAATTTCTTGGTTCTGAAAGATAGAGGACATGGTTATGCAGACCACTTTTGTGTTCTGAGATAAATGCAATTATAGCTAGAGCCCCAAGGCCAGCTAGATCCAAACAGTTCTTCATTTTCTGCCATGTGCGATCTCATAGAGCATACTCTTCCCCAGAAAACATGCACAAACCCATGGCAGGAGGCTTATGCTGAGTCAAGATGCAGATGGTCACCAGCCCCAGGAAGCCTGACCATCAATTTCCTGGTTCCTAGGTTTCCCTGACACCACAGAAACAACACAAGCATCTGACTCTCTCCCAGGCACTGAGATTCTGGGGAGTGAGGAGCCTAGGCACATGGAGGGCCAGCAGGCCCTACTCTCATTTAGAGGCTGTCACAGGCATGAGTGTGTGAGTGCAGACAGAAGTGAAGCGCTGGTGATGGAGGACAACAAAGCTAGGGACTGCTGTGTGGCAAGAAGCAGGCTGCTGCTCCTCGGACTTGGGATTATGGCCAGCAGAGCTTCTGCGGCAGCACTGCAGACGCACTGGGCTCCAGAATTCTGGTGCGGAGCCATCCTGTGCACAGCAGAGTGCTGGTGGCATCACTAGCTTCTCTCCACTCTAGCATCTCCTAGCCATGACAACCCATTAATCTGCAGACATTGCCTAATGTCCTCTGAGGAACAACATTACCCCTAATTGTGATGTAGACCACAGAAAGGGGGAGACAACTTCATGTACTGTATGAGGAACAAAAAGGAGGAATAAAAGGTAGCCTGGTGACCCTGTGAAGGAAGTGCTGGATCCCCTGAACTTTGGGGAAAGCTCAACTTCCTGTCTGTACCCTGCTGTGGAGGAGTCCCAGGTAATGCGCCACGGTGTGACTTGTCTCCCCAACTTAGTTCACAGGACTGGGTTGAAGGCCACTCTTGCCAGCCTCATGGTGACCTGCACACACATCAGGCCTGGTCCCACGTGGTGGGGAGAAGGGGGGGTCCTGGGAGCCATCTGGCCTGAATCCCCAGCCGTACCTTCTGCTGAAGGGCCCGTTCCAGGGACTCCACCTTCATCTGCTCTTTCCGCAGTCCGGCATGCAGAGCTGCACTTTCAGCCTTGGCTTTTGTGCGGACCTGAGCGATCTCTTCATTGGCCCTGTAGGAGGCGTTCATTATAGAACAGAGACAAAAAGCACATGTTAGGGATCAGGCACAGCTAGTCAGAATGGCTTCAGTAACACTGACACATGGCCAGAGAAAAGAACCATCTCTGAAATATGTAATTCAATTTCAATAATGAAAATTCAACATACTATTGTTACAGAAGTTTGCGTGGCAAACACAATTCTTCAAAACTTGTATTTCATGAGAACAAAGAATTAAATCAGCTTCTGTAACAATGGGCTGGGTCACTCCCGATGTTGTGGTAGCTAAGGAGAGGATGCTAACCATCACTATCTGACACAGATCTCTAGGAAATGACTGCTAGTCAGATGCAAAAACAAGTCTTAAAGACCAGAAGTTAGTTGATAATAGCCAGTTAACAGACAAAAGGACAATAAAACCTCATAAGGAATCTTAAACATGGAATTCTTTCTTGGAGGTTATTGGGGGTTGAACCCAGAGCCTCCGCACTGAGACACACACATCCCCTGCCCTTTCTTAGTATAGTTCTTTTTATTGCCGTACATAATGATCATTGTAGGGAATTTGTACCTATACATAAGGTCCTATTTTTCCCCACTCTCTTCCCTTCAATCTGCCTTCCCCTATTTACAGAAGTCTTGTTTCTACTTTTCCATTTGATTTTTAAAATCTCTTTCCCCTTCCTTCCCTCTCATGCTCCCTTTCCCTTCCCAGTTGAACATGTTCTTTCTATTTTCCAATATCTGTTTTGCTCCATTTTGTTCCTTTACCCTTTGGGTTTCTCACATGAGAAACAATGCAATATTAAAACTTGTATATCGGGGCTGGGGATTTAGCTCAGTGGCATAAGCACCTGCATTGAAAGCAGGCAGTCGTGAGTTCGATCCCCGGTACCGATAAAAACAAAAAAACCAAAACAAAACAAAAAACAAAACAAAACAAAAAAAAACTTGTATATCTGATTTATTTCACTTAAAATTGTGGTCTTAAGTTGCATCCATTTACCTAAAGATACCTCAAATTTATCCTTCTTTATGGCAGATTAGTACTCCACAGATATCACATTTTCTTTATCCATTCATCTATTGATGGGCTGTTTCAAAGACATAGTTATTATAAATTGTGCTTCTATAAGCACAGATATGCACAATATCACTGTGGTGTGATGCTTGCAACTTTTTAGGGAAGATACCTGGAAAGGAACCTGCTGGGTCAAACAGAACTTCCTGTTTGTTTTCTGAGGAATCGACACACTGATTTCCTTAATGGTTGTACCACTTTACACTCTCACTGGCTTGGACAAGGGCTGCTTTTCCCCACAGCCTCAATAGCATTTGTTACTGGTTGATTTCTTGATGAGAGCCATGCTTTCTGGAGTTTTTTTTAAATTTGCGTATATCCAATGACCAGGGATGTTGAACATCTTTTCATGTATTTATTTGCCATTTGTACATCTTCATCTAAGAAGTGTCTATTCATTTCATGTGACCATTTTTGGATTGGATCTTTAAAATCTCTGCTGATTCTACCTTCCAGCAGGGCAAATGTTTCTGTTTTAAACATTTATATCTCTGATCCATTTCAATTTTAGTTTAGTACATGGTGAGAGATATGGTCTCAGTTCAGTCTTTGGCATGTGGATAGACAAGTTTTCCCAGCATCATTATTTATTTTGGTACTAGGGAATCGAACAGATGACCCTCAGCCTGCCAGGCAGGTGCTCTGCCTGCTGAGCTGTATCCCAGTCCTCCCAGCATCATTTATTAAAGGGAGTATCTTCTTCCAGTGAAGGTGTTTGGCCCCAATGCTGAAGATAAGGTAGCTGAGTGAGTTTGGAGTTACTTGTGCATCTTCTGCTCTGTTCTATTGAGCCTTCAGTCTGTTGCATGCCAGTATACCATGGTGTTTTTATCAACCAGCCCTTTTTAAAATCTGAGAGGGTCTCACAAAGTTGTTAGCCTGCCCAGCCTGGCCTCAAACTTGTGACTCTCCTGCCTCAGCTTCCCAGAGTGCTAGAATTTCTGAAGTATGTCAATATTCCCAGCTAAAAGGCATACAAATTAAAATAATTTGGGGGGTGGTGGTGCTGGGCTTGAACCCCGGGTCTCATGTACGCTAGGCAGATACTCTACCACTGAGCTACACCCAACACTCAAACAAAAACTTCTAAAATGTATCAGATCACCAAACATTAGTAAGAATGATCATATTTTGTGTTGGTCCAGATGCAAGGAAACAGGGACATGTATTGACTGGAAGGAAAACTGGCACTGTCATTTTGGGGTGCAAAATGGTAGTAACTAGGACAATTTAGAATACACACACTTTCTGGTTTCCTTGGTTTTAGTTTTGTTTTCTTGCTGTACAAACCCTCTGACCAGAAATTGCACTATCTATTCACAGAATAACTGCTCTATTTATAACAGAAAAAGTTTAAAACTATCTAACTGCCCTTTAATAAAATTTTTTTTTAAAAAGAGAAATAAACAGTTGTAGGTGGTGGCATACCCTGTATTTTCAGTATTCAAGAGGCTGAGGCAGGATGATTATCAAGGCCAGCTGAGGCTACACAATGAGTTTAAGGCCAGTATGAACTACATTGTGTGACCCAGTCTCAACAAACAAAGTTATAGTTCTACAACCTAACAAAAGTAATTAAATCAAGTTCTCTCTTTGAATATAGAAAAATGACCTTGATATACATAAGTAAGTGAAAAAGAAAATTTGTATAGTTGATTCCAATATTATTTTTTTAAAAGGAAAACAAAAACAAAAACATCCCAAAGCATTTCAAGCAGTATTTGTAAAGACACAAAGGACTAAAAGGACAAACAACAAATTTTTAATCATAGTGCCTATTAACAAGAAGGCAAAAGACAAAAGTTTTTATAATACAAACACAAGCAGCAAAATTATACGGATAATTTTCAGATTACAAAGGTCCCTGCCTGCCTCTGTCACTCTCCCCATGACATCATGAGAACTGAAATGAAAGTCTGTCACCCCTTCCCCCTGGGTAGTGTATGCCCGATTAATCCTGGCGGGTGGAGTTTGAGACCAGGCTGAAAGGGAACGTGGAGTTCAAGCCCAGCCTCAATTACACAGTGAGATCCTATCTGAACAAAACAAAAGCAAAAGCAAAGCATAACTCTCACCTATCTAGTTTCTCTTCTGCATGAGTTTTCAGGGCCTGGTATCGCTGTTCCTCCTGTTTGACTCTGGCTAAGTAATCTTGAGCACATTTTTTCAAGGCTTCTTCATTCTGTTTCAAAGTAACAATCAATAAACAAGCAGGTTATTATTTTTTTCTTCTACTAGTAATGTACCTTGTGCAGAATTCACCCTTTAGGGGCCAGAGATAGAGCTCAAGTGGCATGGTGCCTGCCTGGCAAGCATGAGGTCCTGAGTATGATTCCCAGTTCAAAAAAAAAGAGAGACTTTTTTTTTTGCCTTTATGAGACAAGGCCTCACTATGCTGGCCTTGAATTCACTTTGTAGCCCAAGCTGGCCTTAAATGTACAGTGATCCTCTTGTGTCAGCCTCCTAAGTGCTGGGATTATAGGACTACACCACCATGCCCAGCAGAATTCACTTTTTAAAAATGGGAAAAACTAATTCAGATATGAACAGGTACATGCAACTCTAGTTGAACAAATTCCACATTATTTTTTCCTGTGTGAATATTCAATACCACAGTGGGATTGAGTTATACCAAGACATCTCTTTTTAAAAAGGCCTTGTTCAAAACTGAAACATGATTTTCCCACTCTTCATTCTTATTTCATATGGAAATAATCTCAGAAGCTGGGGCTGTGATTCAGTAGTAAAGCACTTGTCTAGCATGTGCATGGCCCCATGTTTGACCCCTAGCATCACATGCACGCACACACATAGAACACAGTATTGCAAATGTGTTACTGATAGCATAAAACTAAAATATTGTTTAATTTCTTCTAGAATATGCAGACTGGATTTTTTTCAGTGATATGGAATCCCTCCTACTTTTTTTCCTTTTTATCGGTACCGGGGATTGAACTCACGACTGCCTGCTTGCAAGGCAGGTGCTTATGCCGCTGAGCTAAACCTCCAGCCCCCATCCCTCCTACTTTTACTAGGACTGAATGTCGATAATCAAAAATATTTTTTTAAGTCAGGTGTGGCAGCACACTCTCATAACCTCAGCCTTCTGGGAGACTGAGGCAGAAGCATAAGGAAGGATCTGGGCCTGGGATGAGCAACTCCATGTCAAAATAAGAGGTGGGATGTAGCTCAATGCGAAGGCTCTGGATTTGTTCCCAAGTACAACCAAAAAAGAACGAAAAAGAGCACTTTCAGAACCCTGCTGAGGTGAGGGTTGCAAGCCTTGCCCTCTGGACCACAGTCTGATTAGTCTGGGTGTATCCGGGGCTCATGAGCTTGGCCTAGGAGGAATGACTAAGAAATGCCACCCTGGGCCAGCTGCCACCTGAACCACAGAGAGCAAAATCTAGAAAGAGCCATCTTCACTGAAGAAGACACAAGGCTAAGAGGCCTTAGGCCTCCTAAAAAGTCACCTGCCTAGACCTGCATACTACCAAGAGCCACCCCCATTAGGGGACACACAGAGGACACAGCACCTTCTTGAACCCTTCCAGCACGCCTTTCAGGTTCTCGTATCTCCTGAAGAGGTCAGAGAGGGACTTTTCCACAGAGTTGAGGTCAGCCAGCGCCTGCTCCTTCTCCATGGTCAGCTGCTGGAAGCTCTTCTGGGAGGTCATGCTGGTCCTCTGCTCATCTTCTGGGAACCACCAGTCAAAAGCAATGGCTTATTTTGGCATGTTCTTCAACAGAGCTAAGACCTACTCTGTGAGCCAAGTGATGTTCTCAGTGATGGGGACACAGCTGTGTGTGTTACAAAATCCTCTTCTCAAGGATGAGGGGTGGGAGAAAAGGCTGAAGCCAGGAAAGGGGTAGGTTAGGGTAGCAGCCAGTGTGGGGCACAGGGGCTCCCTCTGAGCCGAGACTTGAAGGGACCAAGATGGGAGCCATATAGCACTGGCAAATAAGCACACAGAGGGGACAGTATAGCAAAGGCCCAAGCAGAAGGCATGTGGTGATGTGGATAGCAGAAACTCACTTCAATGTACAAGTGCTAGAAGATGAGACCTGCTCTGACCAAGGGGGTCAATCCTTACAATATTCACCAGCAGAGCTCTACACTCAGTGCAGGACCTTGGAAGGCCATGGTTTTGTAAGGCACCCTGGCTCTGATGCAGGGACATTTGACCTTCCGGTGCTACATCAGAAGAAAAGACTCCACTGGTAGTATCAAGGTCATGGTGGGACACCAACACGGTGGGCACTGCACACACAAGAGGGCTTCTCACAGAATACAAGTGATTACAATTGATCCTCATCACTGACCATCTCTGCCAATTTTCCCACTTGCTCAAATTTATCTGTATCTCAGAATCAATACTCATGAGCTTTTATAGCCATTTTTGGCCTGAGACTAAAATTTTCATTCACTGGATGTGCACAATCTTACTTGGAGGTTAACAAGGTGACGTTTTGCAGACAGACGCCTCATTCTGCATTTTAGTGCTTTTTGATGGTGACCTTGCTGCTGGAAACGACCCACAAGTGGTGCTGAAGTGCTGACCAGTGTTCCTAAGCATAAGCTTAGATGTGATGCTCCTGAATACAGGTAACAAGCAACTTCATTCAGAGTTAAAGGGCTGCTAGCTATGAGTTCAGTGCTAGCTAATAAACAATATATATTAAATAAGGTGTCTTTAAACAGGAACACATGAGACAAGGGTGTGTATACTCCAGCTGATGGAAATGTTTTCTCCAAGCGCTTGCAGGAACTAGCTCTGCATACTCCTTGGAACGTGCTCTGTGTGTCAGCAACCTTGCTGCCACCATGGAGTCAGTGGTCCACAAGTTGAATTCATGCTCTGAAAAGTACCCTTGGGTCTTGCTATGATCAGCATTTACATTCCCTGCCCCTCTGTTCCCTAGGAAAATCTACTCCCCAGTGATAGTGCTGGGTAGGGAGGTAATCAGGTCACAGAGGCAAAGACAGGATTAGTGTCCTATAATGCAGACCCCATCAGAGAACAAGATGTTAAAGGAATCGAGCCAGGCATAAAAGGATCAACACTGCAATGTGCTGGGGCGTATGCAGATGCTAACAAAGTTGATTTCATAGAAGCAGAAACAGAAGAGTAGTCAGAGAAGTGCAGGGAGTGGGGATGGAGTGGGCTGGATAATGAGTACCAGAAGACAGGTGGATGCAAGAAGTGCTAGGGTTCTACAGCACAGGAGGGGTCCACCATATATCACAATGAACTATGTGTTTTACAAAGCATTAGAACACAGGTGGTCAAAAGTTCCCATACAAAAAAATGATAAATGTTTGAGATGAAACTATTAAATTACCCTGGTTTAATCATTACATTGTATTCCTGTTTGCAATTTTCACACTGTAACCCATAAATATGTACAATGATTATGTGTCAGAGACAGGGAGAGGAGGAGGAGGGGGGAAAATGGATGGAGAGACAGAACCCACAAAACCACAGAGACACAGACAGAGCTGGACCCTGAGAGCTAGGCAGCCCTCCAACCTCCATGCGGGAGTGGAGAGAGAAGGGGCCAGGGTAGTGGTGGGGAACCCACAGTGTACTTGGCTGCAGGAGACACACAGTGCACTGTCGGCACACAGGCCAGGCCTCCTGAACTAAAACCCAGTATTGAAGTTTGACTGCAGGGTCAGTGCTCTGTGACAAACAGTGCACTCTGAGTTGCAGTTTGGACACTTGGGCTCTCAAAGGCTAAGAGCAAGACACCGAGCTGCAGAGCCTTGACAGCCGTGAGGGAGAAAGGCGGCAGCTTATAACCCTCCCAGGTTATAGCATCCAGGACAGGGTAAGGCAGACACCACAGCTCAGGGCCTAGGAGAAAGCATTCTCCTTACCAATCATTTGGGCAATGGTCTTTTCGTATTCAGCCACGATTTTCCTACATAAGAGAAAAAAAATGTATTATCAGCAGAGAATCTGCGAACAATGCAAGTGAGAGAAACATTACCCCAACAACTGAACTCATTAATGCACAATGATAGATTTACTTACTCTGTTTACCCAGCCCCCATTCCCCTTTGTGTTTTGGTTTGTACTCCTGGCCCCACAGAAGTGGGGGGACTAAGTGTTGTTTGTGATTTTGGGGCTGGTGACTAAAACTAGGGCCCCGCGCCTGCCAAGCACACGCTCCACCACTGAGCCACTTTCCCAGCCCAAAAAGGCTTTCCTTCTACTTGTAGAAACAAGCACCTTCACTTTTCCTGTGAGCCTATTTGAATACCTCAGGACAACAGATTAATTCCACTTACATAAATAAACCTTGATGCCAGACAAGATGCATGCCTATAATCCTAGCACTCTTGGAAGGTGAGGCGGGAGGACAAGTTCAAGCCTAACCTATAAAATGGTGTGCCTTAATACATGTGATAAGCAAGCTTCATTCAGATATGAGCTAAAGGGCTGTCGGCCATGAATTCAATGCAAAAAAATGAATGGTATTTATTAAGTTTACAAATGTCTGCCTGTCTGCCTGCTTGCCTGTCTACTTACCTACTTACTGATCTATGTCTTTAGTTTAACTCTTTAGAGCTCTTCTACACTAGCCAGTCTGACTTCAGGCTTTCCTGAGTCCAACCCACTTTTCTAGGCATCCTGTCCCCTCTGATGGTTTTAAGTTTTCTGTCCTAGTTGCAAAAGTACCTCATTTATTCACAACCAGTAAGGATCACCCTCTCAGATGAACTTCTGTCTAGTCAAGTATGACAGCTTCCTAAAGAGCCTGTTCTGTGCCAGACTGTTCTGGGGCCCTCACTGGCGGTATTCATCATATCCAAGCTCCTGGTTATGGGGCTGTGAGCCCTCCAAGGACAGGGCTGTCTCTTCTCTCCACCCAGCCCAGCACAGGATTAGTGTCCCCTGGGAAATGTTCAGAAAAACAACTAAAACGGCAGACACAAATTAGAGCACCATTAAATAAAATGTTTCTTACTAAAGTGCTGACTGTATGCTCTATGAATTATTTATACTTTTTCCTTCTTTCTTTGGTGTTATTTTAGACACTGAATGGCTCATCACTCTATAGTGACCAAGAAAAATAAAAATATTTCAGCTTAAAGTCAGTTTTGTTCACTAAGACTTTTTATAATCCAGTTGACGATTACATAATGTGACGCTATAATTAATTTTCTGAATATATTATGTCTTCAATGCTTCTGTCACTGAACATGTCAATAAATCTATTACCCTGTATGGTAAATAAATATTTTTATAAAGTTGTGTTGATTCTTTTAAAAAGACAAGAATTAGATAGCCATGATGCTTGTAATGCCAGATATTCAGGAAGCTGAGGTACAGACTGCAATTTGAGGCCAGCACAGGCAACACTGCTGGGCAAGATAGCATTTACCTATAACCCCAGCACGCTGGGAAGCTGTGGTAGAAGGGCTGCAAGTTTGAGCTCAGCAACCCTGTATCAAAATTTATGAAAAAGTGTTGAGAAAGGCTCAGTGCAAGGGTTCAAAGTTCAATCCCTATTACCACAAAACCAAACAAATACCTAAAATTTTTAAAATTAAAAAACTAAAAGGGCTGGAGAAGTAGCTCAGTGGCAGAGAGGCTTTAGAGTCAATCCTCAGTTCCACCAAAAAGGACATGTATGTGCATTCTGCTTATACATAATGTTCTGAACAACCTCAGATAATGGGCGCTACTGCAGCAGAGGACCAGTCCCATGTAACTCAGGAAGTGACACTCGCAGTGAGCCCTCAGTAGTGGCTTTGGGATGCGCAAGCATCTATACGAAGGCCTCTGACCTCCCCACGCATCGTCTAACCTCATCTCCAAGACTTCCTGCCGAGTCTCTTCGTACTTTTTCTTCCATTCATTTGCTTCAATTTCTTTAGTGATGATCTGGATAAAAATAAAGCTTGGTCTTAACTAATCAGTCTATTATAGTATTTGAATTTAACACCCAAGACTGACAACAACACAGGATCAAGTACGACCTAAGACGTTCCCCTGACATTAGGAGTGTAAAACCTCAGCATTTCTTTAACCTGCATAAACATTAAAAGTGCGTGTTACACCACACAGAATGCTGAACTGTAGCCACTAGGAAATGGTAAGCAAACTCTGAATTTTAACTTGGCCCTGAGTCTGACTTTCAACTCTGCAGGCCCAAAACTGGACTGTGGAGGACGGCAAGGCAGAGCCACCTGCCTGGCAGATTCACCTTCACCAAATCGCACAACTGCAGTGCTGCCGGATCATCAGTGCTCTCTGCATGAGAAATGCAGGTGCCATAACTGAGAGTACTACGAGTTGGCACAAGCAGCACATTTTCTTTCCACAGAGATCTCCCACTGCTTGATAAGCATGGAGTCAGCAGCGGAATTCCCTAGGCTGGGTACATCCCTCACTGTAGGCAGGACCAGATGGGATGCACTGGAACTGGAAAGACACATATTAAACTCATCCCTCCACCTCACCTCCCTGAGCAAGTCTGGGAGGCACCTTCACACTCTCCTTTCCCAGCTCTTTTCCGGCTGTGCTTCCCTCTTTGACTGGTATGTGCTTTATTTGGGTATCTTTAATAAGGATTTCAAGAACAGAAGCCACCTGTGTGCTTCTGTGACAAGGTTCACTTTGCTTTGACCCATGCAGTGATCATGTCTTAGTCTAACCTGCAAGAGGGAGATGAAGTCCCTTTTCTTATTTGTAAGATCTTGTCTGTTAAGTCACATTTGGTTTTACTCTCTTCCAAAAAAAGCAATAAAAACTGTGGGAGCAATAAAACCAAAAATGTGTAACAGTCACTGTACAAAAGAGAGGAAAAAAAAGTGCTCTAAATGGTATAACTGCATGTAAATTTAAGTGTATAAGATAGACAATGATATTACTGAGTTTTGTTGGATCACTGAACAGAACTGTTTGCAGTCTTGCTGTTTGAATGTCCACTTTATATGCTTTAATCTTGTAACTTGACAAATATTTCTAAGATGACAATATGTAATCCATTAACTAGTGATTTCCTACTGTTTTTTTTTTTCTGAAATTCTGCATAACTTGTACCCTTTTTCTGCTTTTTTTTCCTTTTTCTCCTTAAAAAAAAAAAAAGATCTTGGTAGGTCTCACCACTGCTCCCAGACCTGACAATAGCGCTAGCTGCTTCATAAAAGGGTGACAGAGGTGCTTAACTACTTTCATCATACATAAAACGTAGCTTCTACATCAAAAGAATTACCTTCTTTAAAAAAGGGGGAATCATTAAGAAACACAAGTCACAACATAACATAAATTGCAGATGTGAGTCAGGAGAGGCTGTGTGTGGCAGTGCCTTCCGTGTTTTCAGATTGCCTGGGAAGAGGCTGGTCAGGGATCCAGGTGCAATGGAGGCTACTGAGTAAACCCAGTACAGGAACCAGGGAGATAAACTGTTTAAAGAGTGGGTGGAATTAGGAGCCAGTTTTATACTGTGAAAAGCCTAGAATTTGAGGCATTCTTAGGCATCAACTTACATGGACTAGAGTTGGTAGACTTAGATATTTAAAGCTTCAAGACTGAAAGTAAAAAAGTACATAAGATTTCTGAGAGTGTCTCAGAACATCCACCTTCTGCCCTGGAAGCCAGCATGTCAGGACTCCGGCACTAATGCTGGGCCTCAGAGAGAGCCTTTATGTGAGTGATATGGATGGCCTGGGTAATCAGAGCCAACAGAGATGCAATCCACTGTGGTGGCACCCGAGCCTTCCAAAAAAACAAAGTGACACGCAGACAAAACCAGAAAGCCTTTACCTCCTCTCTTATCAAGGTGAGCACAGCACTCTTATCTGATTCACTCAGGCAGATCCCATCCAGGGGGCTCTCACTGCCGCATGCCACAGACACTGGGGCCTTCTCTGAGGACTCAAGCAGTCCCTGTGTGGGGAAAGAGGTCACACTGAATACATTCAGTCTCCAAAATCTTTCAGTAACTTCCTCATTGCTAAACTGATCACACTCTGAACACATGCTTTGCAGGAAAAAAAAAAAAAAAAAACCCAAGCCACCAAGGAGGAAGTTTAAAAAACCCATCTAGTTATAGGACCACTAATAATACCAGTATAGTCTTGAATTTGCTGAACAGATAACCTGGTTGAGTTTTCTTCTTATCCAAAAGGAAGAATCTGTAATTACCAAGTGATTAATTACAAAAGAATCACAGGCATGAAAGAAACACATTTGATGGTTCAATTTTTTCTGATGACTCCTGAGAATAATGTGCTCCACACCAATAATTTTTCAAAAATAGTGAAAAGGGGCTAGAGATTTAGCTCAGTGGCATAAGCACCTGCCTGGCAAGTACGAGGTCATGAGGTCGACCCTTGTACAAAACAAAACCAAAACCAAAACCAAAAACACATGAACACCAAAAATAGTGGCAGCTGATGCTTTCACCTACGGGTATTTTGTGCATATCTTTATTTAGCCACTTTTGGGTGGAAATGTTTCTAATATGGATTACAAACTTCCAGGGTGAAGGATGCAGAAGTAGCCCATATATCCGATACATCTGAACTCAAAACTCCCACTGCAGCTCCAGAACCAACATGAACTTGAACTGCTCTGTAGTGGGGTCCTGCTACAATCTAGCAATGCTGCTGGTGTTCCCCATGCCTTGCACACACACAGTGGTTGTAAGTCAACACCTGTGCTTGGTTTTTCTGTTCTTCCTTGCTATTACGTTTTTAGCTCACTTATGGCACTAATGATCTTTCAAGGCATCAGTTTACATCTATCAAAAACTTAGCTCCAGAGTCACAGTAGGTTAGCATTTTGTTTTTCACAAGGACATGGATTTTATACTATTTTTCTTCTGAAAAGCCATTGGGCTTAGTTACTTCTCTCGTTGCTGAGACAAAATACCAACACCCACAAGTTAAGGGAGGAAAGGCTTCCATTTACAGTTGGCTGGCTCCAAGGCAGGGTGGCATGGCAAAAGGACATGTCAGGGGAGAATGGTTCACGGCAGGGCAGCAAAGCAGAGAAGTCAGTAGCAGCCCCTTATTGTTCCTTATATTCTTTCACGTAGGCCACATGTCTTTGGGACAGAAAGCACTCATACCCAGGATGGGCCTATCCCTTAGCACACCCACAACTATGCCAAACCAATTGGCGGACTAATTAAGAATCATACACTTTAGATCCAGTCACCTTTGAAAAGCCCTACCTATGACCACAAGGTTTTGGGGGGACATCTAGACACAAGCCGTGACATCATTTTGATGGCTTTTTATGGGAGCAAAATTTTGTTGTGTAGTGCCCCTCCTCCAGCAGCATTTAGGGGACAGCAGCTCGCCACACTAGTGCAAGTGCAAGGTCCCCCAGAGCCTCTCTCTTTATATATTGGGTCAGATCTATCACCAGAATCAGGAGCACTTTGGAGGGGGGGGCCTTTGCCACAGATCCTTAAGCCCCCAGTTCCTACTATGAACCTTCTCATGTAGCTCCTCCCTGTGGGTGAGGGGAACTTCAGTGACCCACTAGGATGTGCCAACAGCCCTTCAAGTCACTTCTGAGATTAGATGACAGAGAGACTGGTTTCCACGCTGGGAGAAGTTCTAGGGAAAGGTTCATGTAAGAAGAAATACGAGTCTGCCAACAACCCTGTGAACGGCCTTAAGAGTGAAGCCACCCCAAGTCACACCAGAGAAGACCACAGTCCTGTGTGAACTACAGTCACGAGACCAGAGTTGCAGCACCCAGCAAACCCACATGAGGATTCCTAACTCACAGAAGCAAGGAGACAGTTAGGTTTGCTGTTTTAAGACACTGAATTTTGGATTAATTTGTCAGATACCCAAGTACACCCTGAATATGGGGGGTTATCTTATTCACTTCTTGTACCTTTTTTTTTTTTTTTTTTTGTCTTTTTCATTTTTATCGGTACCGGGGATCGAACTCACGACCGCCTGCTTGCAAGGCAGGTACTTATGCCGCTGAGCTAAATCCCTAGCCCCTTGTGCCTTATTTTTAATCAAGGAAGTATCTCATAACCTTGTTACTGCTTTAACTTGCTAGAGGGAAAAATAAACTTGGTCAACCAGTTTGCATTAGTGATTTTACGCTAATACATTTTACAATCAGGCTTGAGTTATTTTAAGTCACAGATGCTAAGTCCAGCCAGTTCCATGAAACTGCCCTGTGTCTCTTATGAGGTAGCACTCAGAGGTCACCAGTGAGAGATCAGACTGGAAATTGTGGCCAGGTGAGAGACTCTGCTGTCTCCAGCTGTCACCTGGCCACTCCTCCTGACCAGCAACATGCCACCAGCCTCGCCACTCAAATCCCAAGTTCATGAGGTGTCCAGGGCAAGAATTTAGACTGTGCCTTTTTAGCCACATTCCTAGAATTTAGCCTTTTATATTCCTTAGTCGTTTATAATGCATTTCAGGCAGTGCAGAAAAGTCTACAGAATCTACCGTCACAAAGAACTGGCTAAACAATGTCTTGTAGGGGTGGGCTGGAATCTGGTGTGTTGAATGGCCCAAGTCAGTCAACTGGAAAGAGGTATGGTCTCCTAAGGGCTAGTCCTTCTCTCCCGCTCCTTTAAGGGAGTCACACAGTAGCATTCCGGCTATGAATTTCCAGTGAGCAAGAGTTCCCTTGGTTGTCGACCTTACAGGGAGAGAATAAGCATCACTAATCTGGGCTATGCTGTGTTGACTGCATTCGTTCCGTCATTTGTCCTTGAATTCCTAGAGTGACATTAGTCACTGCTACTTCTAAGAGACAAATTTGAAAAAGCCACATGAGTACAACTTTTAAGATGGTTAAGATTTTAATAATTTAAATTTTATTCATAAAACATTTTTATACTTTCATAGGTAATTTTAAAATTGATCAGCTATTTTAATAATTCACAAGCAAGGTCTTGCTTTATATTTCCAAAAAATAATTTAGTACACATAGGAAAGCTACTGGTTTCGTTATATTAATTTTATTGCATACTACAGTTCTCTCCCTTCTAACTTTTCAAACAATCTCTTCCATTTACTGATACAATTTATATCAAGCACAATAAAATGGAAATCTGACTTGTGACTTTCAGTTGCACACCAATTTTTTCTTGCTTCAAATATATATCTGTAGTTACACATATATAAGTATGTGCATATACACTATACACTCTTATACCTAGATCTACCTATGTTCATATGTACAAATATTCATCCATATTCTTAATATTTTTCCACTAATGCATTTTTACATGTTTATTATTGGTTATTCTACATTGATCTATACTTCTAAAAGTAGAAATTCTGTTCTTATGAACTACTAACTTTACCACCATTTGGAATACATACACATTTGAACATGTGTGTAGTGATTTGTGTGTACTAAGTTTTTTTCTTTTCTTTTTTTTTTTTTGGTCTTTTTCATTTTTATCAGTACCAGGGATCGAACTCATGACTGCCTGCTTGCAAGGCTGGCACTTACGCCGCTGAGCTAAATCCCCAGCCCCCTGTGTGTACTAAGTTTAAGACTTCTTAAAAAAATTAAGTGAAAAATGCTGCAGACCAACAACTTAAAAGGCAAGATGAGACTTAATCCTCTTCGTTCACTGGGCTCTGGTCTAGCACTAGGCAGGAGATTGCAATAGGAATATACTTTAACGTAGACAAGGGCTTTAAAGGGCAAATGCTAGATGAATTTTTTGGGGGCAGGGTCTTTTTATTTTTTGCAGTACTGGGGACTGAATTCAAGGCCTCATGTGCTACACAAATGTTTTGGCCCTGAGCTACATTTCCTCCTCCCCTTATCTTTGATTTTTGAGACAGGTCTTGGTCAATTGCTCAGGTTGGCCTCAAACATGTGATCCTCCTGCCTCAAAGTCTCCTAAAAGGCAGTATCATAGGTATCTACCACTATGCCTGGGTATCCAGATTCTATTCCCTTTGTTCTTCCTTCAGATGTTTGTTCAACATCTGAAATTTCTTTCGTTTTGGGTTTGGATGCTGGAGATTAAGGGCAGGGCCTCAGGCACGCTAGGCAAGTGTTACACCAGCACTATAGTCCCATCCCTCAGACCGAAATCTCGTTATATAATAGTTCTTCAATGTTCTAAAGAAGCAGACATTCATTTATCAGGAGCCTAAATGGGATTGCTTTTAGCCTAAATGGGGTTGGAGTGTGTATATTTTTCACAAGCTGGTTGGTTCTAGGGTTAGGTACTCTCTACTCTCCTTTTTCATTCTTTCTCACCTTTTCCCTATCAACACAGTCTTGCATGTTACAGCTCGATCCTTCATGTTTTAATTTCTTTTTATTCTCACCACTCTGATGCAGCAGATAGGTGCTGCTTATTTATGATGAATACGTTGGGAGTCAGGAAGTTTAAAACAGTTTCAAGAACTGGGTAAACTGTCCCTGAGCCATGCAAAGACCAAAGCTTTGTCCATTCAACACACTCTTCCTCAATTATCCTTTGCTATTTTTACATGCTGAAAAAGACTACAAATGTTCCTATTGTATTTGAGAAACTTCAAAAGAAACTAGTCTCAGGGCTGGAGATGCAGCTCAGCAATTCAGTACACACCTTTCGGTTTAAGCCCACAAAACAAACACACAAAAAACAGAAACAAACAAACAAAAAACCCAAAAGAAAACAGGTTCCCAAACTGCACAGTCAAGTTGTTTTGGCAGCTGGTAGTGGAACACAGTTTTGTGCGCTCAGGAGTAAGGGCAAGAACACTACTTGCTTCAGGTCAGGAAACTAAGGCTTAATGACCTCTGGTCAGCTATCTCAGCTGAGAGTCTCGGGAGTTTCTAGGGAAAGGTAGTTCTGTCTGAACACAAACGTTACCTATGTGTGAGGCTCCTCTGAGAGCACACAGCTTCCCCCAGAGTTATGTGTGTGTTCTGCCTTCTCATTTCCTGTTGCTGCTTCCCCAAGTGCTGTGCACCCAGCCCTACAAGGTCATCATTTCATTCTGCGTTCTCTAGGGAAACACGGTGGGCCAACAGTAAATCAAGAAAACAATTTAGAGGCAGAGACACTCTACTATAGGAAAAAAAAAGGAAAGAACAGAACAAAGAATAGGAAGTATTGCAGTAAATCACATGAAGAAAGCCAGTAACTGTGCAATTGGTTTTTATACAAATGCGTCTGTTGTCATTATTGTGACATAGCATGGGTCAACACTTTAAGCCTGTTTTTACTTCAAGGTGGGTCAAAGTAAAGTGTTTCAATGACAACTTTACTACCTGTTACACAGCTTGTGTCTCCATGTTTCCCCAAAGCCTTGTGCAGTCATAGGCGGGGATTTGGCAGACACTGGATCTAGGGCATATAAATGTAGATTAAGGGTGTGTGCTACTAAATCAGCCCACTGGTTGGCACATCATAGTTCTGCGTGTGGGTGACACCACCCAAAAGGCTTATGTCCTGGACGAGATAGGGACAGAAGACAAAGGGAGGCTTGCTGCTGCTGCTGCTGGCTGCTGCCTCCTGCCTGCCTTTCCATGGGTTGTTCCTCCTCTGAGAAGCTCCTCTGCCATGCTGCCCTGCCTTGAAGCCAGCTGGATGTGCACTGAAAGCTCTACTAACTGCAAGCCAAAATAAACGTTTCCTCCTTTAATTTACGAGTGTCAAGTATTTTGTCTCAGCAACAAGAAAGTAACTTAAGATACTACTCCCACAGCCATCAACTGGCACCTGTGTGTTTAAGGCTCCTTTAAGGTAAAACAACTCAGCACTTTCCTGGCCCGGAGTTTAGGGTTAGAACTATTAGACAGACGAACCAAGAAATTAGACCCACTGTTCCATCAATGTCACATGTCTAACAATGAATGTCACAATTCTGCCTTTCCTTCTGTAGTCTTCACTTACCAAATCCCTATTCATCAACATATTTATGGTGGTGGGTGCTGGAGTGTAGCAGCCAGTAAGGCAGTCATGGTTCCTATCCTCACCATTTTTACAGTCTCATATGGACTGCTTATGGAGCCGAGAGGAAATCCTGCATGTGTAGGGATGTATCAGACATGTGAGGAAGGACAGGTCATCCTGCTGCAGAAAGCCATGGTGGCCACAAAAAGTGTCTAAACTTGTCCTTGAGATGAGAACACAATGAAGAGATTTAAGTAAGGAGTAACAAGATTCATTTTGTATTTAAAACATATCACTCTGATGTGTGCTAGAGGGACAGTTTGGAAACAGGAAGACTACTTTAAAAGAGTCTCAGTAGGGCTGTGGGCCCCAGAAGGGTAGATGGATGTGCAATGGGTTCTGGATGGACAAGCCTTGAACTTGCCTGTGGGAATAAAGAACTGAAAGATGACTTAGCTACCCAAGTTTGAGGCACAGACAGCTAGACAGATGACAGGTCAGCTGTTACAACGAGGCTGCTGGCAGGAACGCCTACATGTTGAGGGTAGAAACTCTCTCCCCCACAACACCACCAGGTATGTCACTGAAGTCACGGGCAGTGATGGTGCTGCCTACTAAATCTCTTCAGTCTCCATCCTTCCCCCTGAACCCTAATCAAGCATCCTGCGCCCTGTCAGAACCTTACAATGAGTTACCTGCCATTCTACCACACACCCAAACCTCCTGGCAATGTATTGATGGGCCCTGATGATGTAACCCTGGGCTTTCGTATGCATAGTATCCTTCCATCACATGAGATTATTAATAATCACAGTTCCTCCTCAAATTTATACTTCTTACTCCCTGCCTTTGCGAGGCCACCTGTCCTGCCTGGAATACCTGTTCTCCTTTTAGGGCTTGTTTAAATGAAGAGACTTTAACTATCTTTGTCGTCACCTTAACTGAGTGACTAAAGTCAACCCTACTGACAAAGGGCACACTGACATTCTTATCACTTCAACTATGTCTGTGTTTAAAATGAATGAGCTGAGCTGAATCAGAGAAAACATTGGAGCACAAATTGAAAAATATTCTACAAAATAACTAGCTGGTACTCTTCAAAACTGTCAAAGTCATTACAGAAGGAGAAACTGAAAACCACTGCCAATTAAAGAAGGCTAAGAGTATTATGACAAAATGCAACATGGGGACCTCCTCTGCTAGAGCTGTACCACAAAAAGGATACTTGTGGAATGAACTTGAATAAGGGTTACATCTTAAATATAAAGCATTGTATGAGCGTTGAATGAGTAATTTTGATGACTCCATTGTGACTATGTAAAATGTTAATATTTGAGTAATTCTTTGAATCATTTTTACAAGTCTAACATTAGTTGAAAATTAAGATTTTGCTTTTAATTAGCTCAGATTCAGCCTTTCCCAATACACGCCATGTAGTCAGCCAGCCTTGGCTCCCACAACTCCCACATTACATACTGCAGCATATTGTTTGTTTGCGTTTTGTATCAACTGCCAGTACTACTTAACAGAAATACACCGGAAAGCAACTATATGTTTTCATTTCCTACAGCCACAATAAAAGAATACTACCCATGTAGTCAGTAATAAAAAGGTATTGAGACATTTAATATTCCCTTCGTGATGAGGGGGTGTAAAGTCTTCCAATACTGCTGCCTCACACATATGGGGCTCTCAATTCAGACCAGCTACAATCTGGGTGTTCAACAGCCCGGTATGGCCAAGGGGCTACTGTATGGAACATTATGTATGCACTATGGGTTCAAGTGAAGAAGCTGTTTCTTATCCGTCGCCTAAGGCTGAATAAAAGGCTTCCCAACAAATACGGTAAAAGCCCTGAGCGCAACGCCAGGGCCCTGAGTTTAGGAACTTACGAGCACAGCAGATCCCTCTTTGTCCATCTTCTGGCACACTTCGTTCTCTAGGCCTAAAATACAAAAGAGTTTTTATAGCTGTCCCAAGAAAGCAGTTCCTTTCCCTCCTACAAAGACTCTTGGCTGCCCCATGCAGGCCCAAGACGACTACGGACACACTGAAGGCCTTTCAGGATTTCACAGGGAGCACTGGCATTCTGCTGAATTGTCTGCTCGGTGTCAGAATCCAGTAGCCTTCAGAAGAAAGAGGGGTGCACAGGCAGCCTCCGACTGTCAATCTTCAGGCAGAGAGAGCCGCAGGGCTGCCCCATGTCCACCAAAGTCTACTGAGCGGGTTGAAATAACCATGAAACTGCTGACGAAAGAAGCTCTAATACTGAACACTATTTTATTACTAAATGAGTGACTCTAAATTCTAGCTCCAAAGGACAACCTCAATCTAGCTAAAGTAGCACATAAAACAATAAGCTTTGTTTCAAAACTAATATCCTTTTTATATCTTTCTAATTGGTTATCTTCTATCAGGTTTATTTTTCTATCACCAAAGGAGACATAAAACAAAAACAAAAACCAGAATGTTCTCTTTGAAGAAAATTTAAAGATACAGAAAAGCATATAAAAATTTAAAGCTACACTCTTTAATGTAACAATTACTAAGTACCATATTAGCCAATCGTTAATTACTTAAAACACAAATGTGACCATCACTCCCATGCTCAAAACCCTTCCAAGCCTCCCTCCATCTATCAGATCAACCCCAAATTCCTCACTGTGGCTTTGTTTCCCACAGGCCCTGTACTCACAGAAAGCTAAAAGATACTTTACCGACAGGCAGGATCCCCCCCATCACTAGGTTTCCTGAACACTGATGTACAGAGGGCTACAGATCCACCTTCCACAGTGACTCTCGGCCAGTGATCTTCCAATTCCTCCAATTGCCATCCGCCCTCCCACCTCCCCATAGCCAAGCCCTCTGCTTATTTCTTCAATAAAGCTGATCAGTTACAGTGTAACAACTGTTTAAATCTGTTTTGCTTATGCAAGTCAGTCAACCAGCTTGCTGACTGTGTATCTAATAGAGCCCCAGTTCTCTATACAGAGGTTCTTGTTCAAGGAATTTTCCCCAGTGAGAAAGGATACAATCCAACAAATATTACATGTATCAAAGAAAATTCAAAGATGCACCTCACAGTCCCTAACCTTGAGATATTTATAACATTTCCCCTTCTACAATGAATGCACTGTGCTCGGCACTATGGAATGGGAAGTCAAGAAAAAATGCAGTGGGAACACAAGGTAGAGTAGGTCTCAATAAACATTCAAGATAGATCTGGGAGGATGGGCAGAACTTTTGGAGAAGATAACAAAAAAAAAAAAAAGATACATACATTAAAAAAAAAAAAAAAGGTTAAGAGCACCGTACTCAGGATTAAGCCAGGTATAGTGGTGCCAATCTGTAATCCTAGAAGTAAGATGCAGGGCAAGAGGATCACAAGTTCCAAGCCAGCCCAGGTTACCTAGCAATTTCAATGCCAGCATGAGCTACACAGTGAGACTGTGGTTGGGGGAGAAAAAAAGCAAGCAAAAGGGGATACCAATCAGAGTGAGGAACAGGGCCTGTGGGGCAGAAATCAAGAACAATGGCTGGTATGTTTGCTTTAAGAATAGTGTCACAGTTGGATATTAAAATGTCCCCCAAAGGCCCCTTGGTCAAAGGATTGGGCCCTAGGGTGACATATTTGGGAGGCTGTAAAAACTGAAGCCTGCTGGAAGGTACTTAGTAATGGGTAGGGGGTGCCCCTGAAGGGCACTCTGGGAACCCAGTTTCCTTGTGTCCATTCTTTTGCTTCCTGGCCCAGGAGGTAAGCAGTTCCACTCCACCACATCCTCTTTGCTGTTGACAGCTGGCATCCATACCACAGGTCAAAGAGCAAGGAGTCTACCTTAATCACAGGCTGAACCTCTAAAAGCAGAAGCCAGCTCCAACAACCCTTCTCCCTTCTAAAGCTCAGGTTATCTGTAACGGTAACAGAGAGCTCACTGACACACATGGGCAACTGATACCTAAGAGACCTGAGGCAACTGGAGAAATCACTTGCTTTGTCAAGTCCCACTTTCAACCTGCTTCCCTGGTTTGACGGGAAATCAGTGTTTACAAGTCTATGTCAAAACCCCACACATTATGTTGCTTAAGAAGATCTGAGTTTTTAATGATATTGAATGTAGTAATGGACACAGTTCAAAGCTTTTCCTAAGTTTAGGTCACAGATGTGAGGTGCGATCTCAAGAGGGCCTTCACTGAAGAAGGCCTGGAGTGAGTGGGCAAGTGGCTTTGTTACCGCACAGCCTTGGTAGTTCAGGTTCTTCCTTAGTATGTCAAGAGTTTTATAGAGCACCGTCAATACAATCTGCCACATTTTTACAGGAAAATTTACATTAGCTGACTAGAATGAAAATAATCACTCTACACTGAGGTTAGAGGCCACGGAACCACACTGTTGTAGGTTGGAATCCAATTCCACATTAGCTAGTGACTATTCAGAATACCCCAAAACATGGCATCACAGCAAATGAGAAATCAGAAACAGCAGGAAGGTCTGTCATCAATGGTGCAGATTTTAAAGAGTTCTTTGATCTTCTCTTGAAAAACAGGTCATGAGGCCCTCTTCACTCCAGAGTAGTCCCTCTCAATACCTGCAGAAAGAGCATCTTCATTCTCTAAGACACACAGATGCCGAGAAGAATCTGAGGTGAGCAGGCCTTGCTAAGGGTCCTTCAGTAATCAGTGGCCATCTGCTCATCACACTTCTCTGTGACTGTTCATGAAAAATGTTCTCACATGGGTCTTCATTTTGAAGTGTTCTTGTGCCTTATAAAACTTACTCATATATTAAAGAAATTTGGGTGCTTTTTTTCATGCAAGTCTGTCTTTTGTTGTAGAGGTCTCAGCCACAAACCTTACAAAGGGGAAAGACATATTTCTCTCTCCTATGCTAACCAACTAACCTTGGTCAAGTTAACTTTTGTGCCTCACTTTGTTTCTCCATAGTATGGTGAAAAGAGCTAACAATCAAGGAATAAAGAGCTAATCTATATAAAACAGAACAACAGCTGTAGGTGATGAGGCCCTATACATATTAGCTGATAAATAATAACCAAAAAACCTAAATGCATATTTATAGGCTACTATACTTTTATAATTTGGCCATATTAACATAAAACTATACAAAAATTCAAGCACTACATCACACCTTAGTGTCTGTCTCCTGTACATTGTGCTATACTTACCTATATATCCCTACTATCTATTTCAGTAGGCAGTTTTGGAGGTCTCTTTTCTAGGTAAACAAGCAAGGCACAGATCAGGATCTGAAACCCAGCACTCAAGGGACTCAATTCTCTATTCTCTCTATGGCACTTCCTGCTTTAGGCTTTCAGGCATTGCATTTCTGTGCTTAGGTAGGTGAAGATGAAGATATGCTTCCGTACCTGCTTCTGAGGATGAGAACGCATGGTTTATGGCAGACACGGGAACATTGGAACATTCAAAGTACTCCAGGTCTTCCTCTGGCTCACCTGTCACTGTGGCCCCAGCTGCTTTCTGACCACATGACGTGGACGCCAATTTCTCCTCATCAGTAGCATGGCCATCCCTACTAGAAATGTCTGAAGAGATCACTGGTCCTTCATCCTGGAAATACGACACAGAAGTTACCCATTAGGGAGACAAACAACAAGGACAAGTGACATTTCAGAAAATGAAACAAGCAGCCACATTCCATACAAATATTTGATAGAATTAGTCACAGATCCAGATACAAAGCAGCAGCTAGGTTCCTCCCATCCTGAAATGCTATTTTCTAGAACATAGATTATGTAACTTGAATCTGGAGTTTGAAAGAAATGAACTTTTCCAGCCTGAATTTGTAAGCAAACAACTTAAGTGATCTAAGACAGCAGTTTTCAATTTTCTTGCTTATGTACCTCCTACTCGTGTTTTGGCACTTTGTTTTATGTTATACTTTTCTGAAACAGGCTCTCACTGGAGAAGATAGCTCAGGCTGACCCTGAACTTGCAACTCACCTGCTTCAGTCTCCTAAGTGGTGGGGTTATAGACGTATGTACCTTGCCAAGCCTATTTTTTTTGAAAATCCTTACTTGTCCACTCTGTTTTCAAGTTACATCTAAAAACGTTTCAGGATAAACTATCTTTAAAAAATTAATAATAAATATCTTTAACAGAAAAGGCTAACTTTGAATTAACACAAAGAATGTAGTACCTGGTACTTTCTTGGTTAACGCAGTTAAGTTACTCCAGTAATAAAATACCCTATGATCTATTTTTCAATTCTGTAAGTTCTTCTAATAGACATTTACATTTTTCCCTTTCCTCTATGAATTTGTATTTCACTTCCATTAAGAAATTATTCCAACAAAATACATATAGATTGAGAATCTTTTAAAGGTCCCTTCATACTATTTCTCTGTTAAAAATAAGTTACAGCCTATCTGGCAAGCACAAGGTCCCAAATTCAATTCCCAATACAAACAAACAAACAACAACAACAAAAAAAATCAAAAACAAAAATGTAGTTTTAGTCTTTGTCCATAAACACTAAAACATTACATTGTTTTCTCTTGGAGAATTATCATTGAAATTACTAGTGCATAATTTGTCTTCACAATATTGTAAGTTTTTACAAGTATTATAAAAAAATGAAAGCAGAATTTGTGGAATTGATTTAAAATTTTTTCAGTGCCAAAAATATATAGATAAAAAATATATTTTATATATACATATTAAATAAAATGAAGTAGTTTTTATCATGGTTTTTGCTGCCTGTTTTGGCCAAATTTCAGGAAGGGTTTTTTAAAATAGATGACGAGTAACTCAGACAGCAATCCCCCACTGCCTTTTAAAAATTTAAAGTATAAGGGGCTGGGGATTTAGCTCAGCGGCATAAGTGTCTACCTTGCAACGCGCGGTCATGAGTTCTATCCCCATTACTGATTTTAAAAAAAGAAAAAAATCTTTCAGGGCTGGGGATTTAGCTCAGCAGCATAAGCGCCTGCCTGGCAAGTACAAGGTCATCAGTTCGAACCCTGGTACCAAAAAAAGGAAAATTTAAAGTATGTATCAAATTTTTGGCCCAAGTTTTATAGTATAAGTTAAACTTAAATTGCATCCTGTTAACCAATACAAGTGTGCTTCTGTGATTATAGTTATGCTTAAGCAGAAGTTTTACACAAAATGGATTTCACTGCAATCACATGGACCTGGGCTTTTATTGTTTCCCAACTCATATAGTCATAGATGGACAGTATTTATTGTTAGAATAAAATAAACATCAGTATCATTTATTGCTGGTTTCCATCTTTATATTATAATCAATAAGAAACCCTATTGTATAAGTAAATGGATGAAACTGAAAGAAGTTTTATAATAGCAATGTATTTTCCAAGTTATGTGTCAGAAGATTTTGTAATTAAATCTAATTTTTCAACAGGGCAAGCTGGCACACATGATTCCAGTTATTCAGAGGCTGAGGCAGGACAAATGAAAGTGCAAGGCCAGCCTGAGCAACTCACTGAGACCCTATCGCAAACAAAGCCAAGCCAAGCCCTTATTTCTGGCTGGGGATGCACAGCTTACCTAGCACACATATAGCCTTGGGTTTGAAAACAAACACAAAATCTTACTTTGAACAAGTTGACAACCCAGGTTGTCCCCTTTTCTTGACAGAAATGAACTGGAAACCACCCGCCTTGTGAGAAACTACCCCAGTATTTGAAATCTCTCCTGCCCTGGAGGTTTGCACACTTTGATGATACACCGTTCTAAGATTTAGAATGGGAATTTTTAAAAAAGCGATCATTGTAAAAGATCCTTTTTACAATTTTTTAGGGTCCTTCCCAGATGGTTTTAGGACATTAAGGATCTGAAAATTGGTTTCCTTAAAGTTGAATACTTAAGACACCCACTCTGAGATACCCCCACAGGATGTGAACTCCAGTTTGGGGATTGCTGGTTTATGTGGCTGGTGTCAAACACAGACTTACCTGAGAACAAGATTCCAAAGCAAGAGACTGACTTTCATACTTCTTCACCTTACAGCCACTCCTGTAAAAAAAAAAACACAAACAAGCCAGTTCAGAATCACAATGGCTACCTTGAAGGAATGAGAAGGAGCAGAGCGCAGTGTATGCAGATAGAAGCCAAAGCATACAACAGCACACAAATCAAACATCTGCATGGCAGAGACACAGATCCCTTTGCTGTCTCTGAGTCTTCTCCCAACAGACAGGGCAAGCGAAGAATGAGGGCTAGGTTCACTATTTGAAAAGACCACCTTGTTTGCTTCTGTGGATTGTCAAACACCAATACTGTGACCCCTATCATGTTTTATTACCCACCACCAAAAGCCTTCCAGATAGTACAGTCTTAGCAAGAGAGGTTTCATTCTGATCTTTAGTCACTTGGCTTTGACGTTCATCAGAAAAATCATCACACTAGACCAGATTCTTTAAAAATTCTTTATTGTACTAAAAGCCACAGAAGTCTCCTAAGACAGCTCCCATCTATACCTAGGTATTTACAGAAAAGAACTGTGGTCAACAGAAAGTATAAAAGTATTTGAATAAATTGTTATCATTCTTACTAGTGAGGTACAAGATGAGTGTCATGTAAGGTACAAAGCCCAAAACTATTGAAAACTTAGAGATTCTGTCATTCTTAGTTATCACTTGTGATAAGACTAATTCACATTCTGCTGTTTCAATGAACAAAACTTTCTAGTAAAAATGACACTCTGACCAAAAAAATTATCTTCAACATGCTTTTCTTTGGTGGAAAAAATTAAAAGACAAGCCCAAAGTTATTAGGAAAGATACAATCACTGGTACATGGTCTTATTTCCTTAATGCTGTTAAGTGCCAACCTCTGTCGCTAATCTCACGTTGACTCAGCAAAACTTATCACCTGTTCCAAGCACCCTTATACCATTTTTAAAAATCCACTGATTTCCAATATTATATAGCAGCACAGTCCCTGATGATCTTGGGGGCCAAGCCAGCTCTTGGTATCCAAAGCGCCACGTGATATGTGCCAAGCCAGGGTGCGCAAACTCACGTACCTAAGGCAGGAAGGGCAATCTCCGCTCCTTTAGGTACAAACAATGCAAGGCTAAGCTAATTCAGGAAGTGGCAAATGAAATGCAAAAAAAAAAAAAAAAAATCAAACTCAGAAATAGATGAGAAGGTCAAGCTCAGAAACAGAAGCCAACATGCTGTGGAGAGATAGTTGGGCAGGGGTGGGGCAGCTAAGTGCCAACAGTCCCAGGGACAAACAGAAATAGCAAAAGTACTTACAACAGAAAACAGAGAAATTTCACTTGCTCAGTGGTCCTGATGCACCAACAAAATTAGAGACAGGAAAGAGACAGACAGATGGAGAAAAAAATCATGTAAAGCCTAGAAATTTATCTTTACTCCGGTAGATGTAACAGCTAACTAGTTCTTTCTGTGATGTGGAATATAAATTAAAAATGTCACACTCATAACTATCAATACTGGTGAATGGTTAACAGCACCTCAACACTAAAGGAGTAAGAGTGGTTAAACATTTCAGAGATGCCATATATTCAATCTGGAGATGAGAATAAACTCCTAAATATGTGAAAATGTATAAAAGCAATATTTCATTGCTGAACACATTTAGTCTCTACTGACTAGTCACTCAGATTAAAGACAATATATGAATAAAATATATTTATAAAATATACTTGAAAAGATATTTGGTTATTTTGAAATAGGCGTGCATTACTAAGAAGCTTAAAATGATTTCATATAATATTATTTGATGTGCAAAATTCCAATCATATTATGGTCTCTCCATTTTATAGATACATCTAGAAATCAATTACATACATCTTTTTGAATGTCATGCAAAACCCCTAACTACAGTACCCACTAGGTACTACATCAAATATCTGTTTTTAGTCTTTTCTACAATGAACCATTCTGCTAATCAAGACCCTACAGTGTTCTACAAGAGGTCTACCAACCCTTTCTCGCAGATAGAAGAGTTTTGTCTGTCTGAATCCAGAGCCTTCCCACAAGCCCTTTTTATTTATTTTTTAAAATTTTGAGACAATCTTACTAAGCAGCCACTAAATTGCCTGGGTCTGAACTTTAGATCCTCCTGCCTCAGGCTAAGACTGCTGGGATAACAGATGTGAGCCACCACATCCAAAAAAGTAAGAATTTTGATTATATAAGAAATAAAACAAAAACGCCACAAGTTATAGGGCCAGGGATTTTGGCTCAGCAGCACAGTGCCTGCCTGGCAAGCAAAGGGTCCTAAGTTTGATTACCATACCAAAAAAATAAAAATTAAATAATCTACAAGGTATAGTAGCTCAAGAAGTTCATTTGACACAGAAGAGAGGAAAATGCTACCAGGTCAAGACACAGTAATTCTTGGTATTGAATACAAACAGTACATTTCTCCCTCTTTGGCTCATATTTAATCTTCTCTGACAGGAAACCCCTGGCTAATATCATCAGCATGCAACTGGAAGGCAAACTCCCCAAACTACCACTTATCAGCGGGGGGTAGGAAGAGGCGGCTATTGTTTAGGGGAAGAAGCACCAAGGAACTAAAGTGCCCTATGTGCACTCCCAAAGGCTGCCTAGTCGTAAGTACCTAACCTTAACAGCCAACACCCAACCATCAATATACTTCAACAAGCATTTTACCGCTCCCACACAGGAACAGATCGACAGCTACTGGTGACATTTCATTGCCCCCCCAGACAACGTGAGGGACTCACCAAAGCTGTTTACATAACTGACACCTGCACTGCTTAACCGTCAGTCTTGAAGCCAATACTTCTGCTCCTTAAAGCTCTGGATATTTTCCTTTCCCAGCATAGTTCACTACTGAGTATTTTTTTAAAAAGTCATAATGCTGAAAAGTAATTCCACAAATGACTTCATGATAACCACAGATACTGTCTTCTCACCTGCCCTCCCACGCTTCAACCTTCATGTCAACGGTCCTTCTTTCTCTCTAACATTGTCTAAAATGTCACAATGTCACAAAGGGATTATACTGGCACCTAGTCAATGTAATTTTTGTGATACAGCAATCCTCTAACAAAGTTAAAATGAAACCTGACACCAAGTATGGCCTGAGGGACCACTCAAGGAAATTTAGTCTTGCAAGCATCAGCTTTCAGGAAAATTGAGGGATGCAGGGAGCACAAGGGACAAAAGACTAACTTATTCAAGTTTAACCTATCATTTAAAACAGTCTTGGTCCTCACTGGAAATTTGCCTTCTTGCAAATGAACCAAAAACACACATGAAGACAAGAACTCTCACCAACTTTCCATGGCAGGTGTTTCCAAGAACAGTAACAACAAAACCCCCCACAGCTTTCTGCTTAGAAAAACTTCTCTAAGATGCTTGTGGACCATCTTCACATTACTGACAGTGGAGAGGTAATTTGCAGCTTTGGAATTTCTTTGTTTCATCCACAAAGATCTGAAGATGGTGGCTTGCACAGACACTCAAGTTCTGTATTCAGGGGTTCCCAGCAAGGATTTCTAAAAAGCATCAAATCTACCTGATTTATTTTAAACATTAAAAGAAGTATTCAGGGTAGGAGGAAAATAACTTTGCTAAATAAATATGTTGAGGATTCAGAAATAAGGTAGAGATCTGCAAAGGAAATCTTTAGAATTCTAACCACACAAGAATTAGGCAAAATAGTGAAGACTGGTAAAAGCTGTTTGTGACTCCAATGCACCTCAAAAATAAATGCAGTTCACTAAAACCAAAGCAATGGGCTGCCAAACCCACTGAGAATACTACACAGAACACAGTGCCCAGCACCCTTGTCACTCACGTTATTAAACGCGACTTTGACTTCTTGGGTGAATCTAAGATCTCATTAACATGATTACCAGTGGAAGAACAAAAGTTGTTGCTTGTTAAAGTTGTAGTTGGTTTAAAAGGATCCATGGATTCATTGAAGTTATCTGGATCAAAATGGTAGGAACCCTTAGAGGACAGAGGCGGGGAGTTCTGCAGAGTTGAGCGGCTCCCAAGGGAATCAAAGCCAGGGCAATCCCACTGATTCAGCTCTAGCTTAGAAGACATCTGGGAGATAGAGGTGTCTCCAGCTGCCAGGTCTGCAGGCTGGTCTACACCTAGTGGCCTATGCATGACATCCTTCTGGATCTTAGGAGCCGGTTTGTTACCCAGTTTACTGCCAAGTTTCCTAGGAAGGGCTTTCCTGGCCTCTATGTTTTCCACATCTGTGAAATCGGACTCGAGTTTGAGAGGTGAGCTCCTTGCCTCTTCTTGCAGCTCAATCCCTGAGTTACTGGTATCACTGAGAGTGCCTGAAGCTTCCTTGAGGCCAAGGGGAGACTGCTGGCTCCCATCACCTCCCAGTCGTGCATTCTCATCCAATTCATCCGGATTGGTCTGGTAAGATACCCTGGCAAGAGGCCTGGCCTCTGTGGCAGTTTCTGCCCTGGAGAACTCTCCCCCGATAGTCTTCTTCCGCAAAGATACAGGTTTGGGCTTTCTCAGCCTGCTTCTGCTGGCCACAGGCTCGGGACAGGAGGTTCCAGCCTTCAGATCACCATCTGCAGATGCCTCAGGCGTAACCCCCATGCTGCCCATGTTGCCTTCTGTCACGGCCTCATCCTGGGTGGCTTCTGGCATGCTGGAGGGCGAAGCCTCACCTGAGCCTGCAATTACATAGCCCTGGGCTGCTTCAGTTCCAAGAGCTGCTGGGATCCCAGAGGAATTCTTGGTTTCTATTGAAAATGGCCTCACTACTGAAATCCTGCTGGGGTCATAACCAGGTTCTTCCCTGACATCCCTGACTGGGTGAGGATCAATGGCCAGCTGTGGTTCATTTCCCGAAGATCCAGAGCAAGTCTCAGAAGAGTGTGTGTCAACTACTTCTGCTGCCAGTTGTTCATTGGCTTCTTGTGATTCTAAAACAAAAAACCAAAATCCTTCTATTAAAGAAGTGTCTTTCTGACACTGGCAAATATTTTCTACTACCTAAATTCACACACAAAAACAGTAAACAGTTCCCCTGTTTATTTTTACTAGTCATCTCTAAGATTTGGCAAGGATAGCAGTCTAACCTAAAAAGTTAATAGCTGGAACTATGCCCTAAAATGAGTTTTCCTAACTCAAGTTGTTTACATGCATTATCCAACTGATAAGAATAACAATTTTACCACTACTATAGCTACTTCCAAAAAAGATAAGGAGACCGAGGTCTATTGCAAAGCACACTGTGTGAATGCTGACACTGGTTGAGAGGACTCAACATGCACTGAGACAGCTCCCAGACTAGCACGACATATCTAGAGACAGAATTTTATGAAGCAAGCAGATCTGAACCTCTGAGTGTTAAAAAACACAAGTATTTCCTATTCCACAGCACAAAATTAAACAATCAAACTGTTTCAGAAATAAATGAAAAAGCTACCATGACCAGGTCAGAATCACCTCTTTGTGAATCTAAAACACTAGAAGAACCAAATAAAAAAGCAAACTTTAAAAAGTGGGTACAGAAATGGCTTTAAAAACAAGTAACTTACTTTATAATCATAATGCAATGGTAAAGAAAGCAATTTTTATTTATTTATTTGGTCTTTTTGAGACAGGGTCTCAGTCTGCAGTTCAGGCTGGCCTTGAGCTCACTTTGCAGCCCAGACTGGTCTCAAATTCTCAACAATCCTCCTGCCTCAGCATCCTGAGTGCTTGGATTACAGGTGTGCGCCACCACATCTGGCTAAAATTTTTTTTATTATTTAGAATTTTTCTTTCTGGGCTGGGCCAGAAATTCTCCCAATAACTTATGAAAAATAATTGGCATTTTTAAAAGAAAAAACGTTGCAGTATTAACAAGGGAATTTTTGTAAAGCATAAACTGTCTTCCTAATTTAGCTACCTGAAGTAGTAATAGAGTAGCAGTGAACACTGGGTAAATGGGTTTCCATCGTATCACATGACTTTTAAAAGAAATTAAGAGATGATTCTTTAGTCCTACCTCCTAATCCTAATCCAGGATCAAAGAGTTGAGCATGACTGGAATCATTTTTTTTAAAGCATTCACACATCGTTATCAAGGCTCCCTTATAAATGACTGTAATTGGGCAGTGGGTTATAAATTGCATGCTGCACAGATGTTCCAGATAGTTTACAAATGTTCAACTTCAGTTTTGTTTTGAAATGTGTTTAATTATTATTAATACTGTGTTTAAAAAAATCTCAGTGCTTGTATCTGAGATCTGCTATATTTCCAAAAGATTTTTTAAAAAAAGACAAAGTACAGCAAAATCTTGATATCTGTTGTCCAGAAATGGGTATATGGGAGCTTTTATTGTACTGTTTTCTATTATGTAGCTTTAAAACTTTTTCACAGAAAGTTTAAAAATCAACTGCATTACACATGAAATTTTAAAAAGAATATCTTAAAGTGCACTGGTAATTTAGCTTATGTGTGCCGATTCTATTACCTCTTTCCATATATATGAACTGTTGTGCCACTGATTGTGTTGGTAAGGAGAAAAGGAAGACAAACACAAACAACAATAAACAAAGTCTCAAAACTTCAGGGATGCAAATGTCTGAGTGTCAATATGCAACAGGCTCAGTTAAAAGGGCCTGTCCAGGGGCTGGGGATTTAGCTCAGCGGCATAAGTGCCTACCTTGCAAGCAGGCAGTCGTAAGTTCGATCCCTGGTACCGATAAAAATGAAAAAGACCAAAAAAAAAAACTTGAAAAAGAAAAAAGGGCCTGTCCAGCTGTATGCACAGAATCTTTGTTCTATCAAAGTACAGACTGTTATTACTTTTCAAGTTTGTTGCTTAGCGTCAACCTGTAAGATTTGACACAGGTGCTGTAACAAAAATATACATGATCTTTGGCTGCTAGCACAGAACCCCTAAAACCCTTGAATTTAAGAGATGTGTCTTTCCTATGAGCTTTAATGATTTGAGGGGTGTGCCTAGATTGCTTCAAGACAGAAGCTAGTTACCAGAGTAATCAAGCCAAGATTAGAGGGCTGCAACTTTCAGAGTCACCCTGGTTCCTTCCAGGGTTCAATCACCAAAGGCCAGCCAAACATCATGGGTACATGCTATTTGGGAGGCCATGACAGGAATATCACAACTTCTAGGCTGGACTGGGCAACTTTGCAAGACCTTGTCTTAAAATGAAAAGGTTAAAGATACAGTTCAGTGGCAAAGCACTTGCCCAGCACATGCGAGGCCCTGGGTTCAATCACCAATAGGCAATGACTTAATCATGCCACATGACGGAACTTCTATACAGTCCCCACATGACAAGGCTGGGAGCCTCCAGGTTTGTGAACATGCTAACTTCTGAGAGGGTGATGCAGCTGGAGGGGGTGCCAGAAGTTCTGTGCCTGTGCCCCTTACCTTGCTTGCCCAAGGTACCTCTCCCATTTGGCTGTTTCCAAGCTGATCTTACAAAGAACCAGCAACCGTAATTTCCTGATCTTTGTCAGTCAATTCTAGATAATTATGGAACCTAGGGAAGGGGTTATGGGAACCTCCACAGTGAAAGCTACTGGGTAAGAAGTACATATGGGAACTTGTGACTGGTGTCTGGGGTAATATTATAGATTGCTAAGTTAGGTAGAAATATTATAGGCAGTCAGATAGGGCTGGGTCCTCAAGAAAACCAATGCAAAGATGAAAACTCATTACAATTGTGGCCAGAAGCATAACTGCTGGAAGCCAGGCCTCATGGTAAAGACAAAATGACCAGACCTAAATAAGATAAGTGGCAATACCTGGTCTAATAAAGTCCAGCTAGAACTCAGTCACCTTGGTGGGTAATCACAGCCCTTAAAAAGACTCATCTCCCTCCTAAAAAATTTTTGTTCTTTCCATACACTACACTTACTCCATGACTTGCTTCCTCATTGGATCAGTATTACTCATATCTTATTGGTTGATTATAATCTTAGACCATGTTTACCCTGAAAAGTGGGTCCTCTCACTTTTGGGTCCACTTCTGTCTTAGGCAAAAGCTGTCTGACCCCCAATAAATATTTCCTGCTTTTAACCTCTGTTGTACTGCCACACAAATTTCCCATTTGTTTCAGACTTCTGTAAGTTTAATTAAAGCATATTCTTACTGAATTAAATTAAAAAGTACTAACTATATTAAATTTTTTTTTGGTACTGGGGATCGAACTCACGACCATGCATTTGCCAAGCAGGCACTTATGCCATTGAGCTAAACCTCCAGCCTCTTACATGAATTAAAAAAAAAAAAATCATTTGTAATTACAGGCCTATATAAAACAAAGTTCTCTCGATAACTTGTAAGCTAAACACTACTGAAATAAACTAGATTTTAATTAATTTTGAATTTAGCTTCAATCTCATAAATTCCACTTTTATTTACTTATTTTTGGTACCAGGAATTGAACTCGGAACCTTGTACTTGCCAGCAGGCACTGTACCAGTAAGCTATATCTCCAACCTATAAATTCCACTTTTAAAACTAAGGCTTTTGAATCGTACAATTACAATACCTATTGCATTCATCTGTTATGTATTAGAGTCTGCATAATAATTTCTTTTAGGGCAAGGTTCCATGGGTTAATGATTTTTGAAAACTTAAAGGGAGAAAAGTCCATCTTTAAAGATGGTGAGATGGGTGGGAGAAAGGTATAAATGAGAAAAGGGGGGATGGAAAGTAGTTGTAAATTGTATCATTAAGAGATCACGATATCACCATGAATTTATTGAGGTAGAAAGATGTCCACTAAGATATGTCCCCAGCCTTTTTTTGTTTTGAGTCAGGGTCTCACCAAGTTGCTAAATTGCTCAGGCTGGGCTCAAACTCCCATTCTCCTGGCTTCAGCCTCCCAGAGTGTTGAGATCACAGGTTTGTGTCCCCACACCAGCTTAACAATCATTATTCTTTAGTGAATCTGATTGCTTTTTATTTAGGTTGACAACATTAATGACAATAAGCAAGACAGACTGCAGGCTTCTATAGTTCAGCCAGTGGGCCCCCCTAAGAGCTCCCTTGGATTACTGTGTTAAGTCCAGGAAAGTCTTAACCAACGTGTAAACTCGCATCTGCCCAACTCCAGAGCCTGGCTGCCAAGCCACATATATGTTAGATCATCTCTTTAAAACCAGGATAAATACAGTGGGGCTCCTTGCTACCCCAGGGGATATATTTCAAGGCCCCCAGAAGATGCCTGAAAACTTATAATACATTATCACTGTCAGTTTTGCAATATAGGGTGTAATAGTGGATCTAACACGAATTTCCTTTTCCTTTTTTCACAAGTTCACAGACAGAAGGTTGAGTCTTACCACAGACCTAACACAGATCTAAGCATACATTTTTTTCTTTCTGTAATCTGAGAACTTTTCCCTTATCACTTAAAGGAAGTCTTTAAGGCTCCCCTTTGGCATTTCTGAACCACCAACATCATTCTCTTGGGGGTAGTTATTAAGTAAAAACGGGTAACTTCAAGTTAAGCACTACAATTAATACCTGATAGTCAATCTGAAAACGCAGAGGGGAACTGAGCACCTGGTGGACAGGTAACAAAGGGATGGCTCCTGACACGAGAGTGAGGCAGCCCCAGATTTCACTGCAGTGTTTAAAACAATATGGGATTTAAACTCTATGATCCACTTCTGGGTTTTTCATTTACTATTTTGGACCACGGTTGACCATAAATAACATGGAAAGAAAAACTGCAGATGAAGGTGGTAATGTTGGGGGGACCATCGTTGTTTCCTGTAGTCTGACTGATCACATAATATCTGAGATTGTGAATTCAGTTAAGACTCTGGATTCAGTTGTGAATTCCTAACGCTGAACAAAAATGAATGCAACTGGATGCCTGTGGATGAAGATGCCTGTGTTTGGAGCTGGGCGTGGTGGTCCACACCTGAAATCCCTGCACTGATGATTAACA